TAACACGGCGGGGGGGCGGGGGGGGAGATGCTCACCCTGACCCAGCTTCAGTTTCTGGGCTGTGCAGGGCAGGAATGGTGCATGGTACACAAAATACAGCTTGGGCCCTGCCATTGGGTGCAGTGGGCTGGGTGGCCTGCAGGGAGAGTAAGGTCAGAACATGACATATGCTCTTGTCAGGAAGACCACAGCTGCAGCACCTTTGAATGTTCACCCCAGGAGGCTCCACACCCTAGAAGATAACTTGAGTTCCTGATGTTGCCATGGGCTTCAGGTTCTTCTGCTGTGTGACCCTTTGTCTCCTGGAAGCAGGTGAGTCCTGGGCACAGCTGGAAAGCCTCCAATCTGTATTCCCTGTCCCTGAATACAAGTCAGCTGAGGATGTCTCTGCTCTGCCCTTAGTTTCTGTCTCCTGACCCACAGGCCCTGTGGGTTCTGGAGTCATGCAAACCCCAAAATACCTGATCCAAGTTAAAGGGCAACAAGCAACACTGAACTGCTCCCCTGTCTCTGGACACCTCTCCGTGTATTGGTACCAACAGAAGCTGGACCAAGGCCTCCAGTTCCTCATTCAGCATTACAGTGGTGAAGACAGACAAAAAGGAAACATCCCTAATCGATTCTCTGCACAGCAGTTCCCTAACTCTAGCTCGGAACTCATCCTGAGGATTTTGGAGCTGGAGGACTCGGCGCTCTTTCTGTGTGCCAGCAGCATGGCACAGCGCTGCACGGTCCCCAGCCTTCTGTACAAAAACATTTCTCTCTATTCTGGGAAATGACCAGAAAGGCAGAGCTGCCAGCTAGCCTGGCTCAGGCCCTGGGAAGCTCACAGGCCTTTCCGGAGACTTGCTGCTGCTGGCCTGTGTGATCTGTTTAATACTCACAGAACTGGTGCCAATTCAGCGTCGTTTTACCTGTCTGTATGTCTGCAGGAAAGTAGCTCTCCCGGGACTCATATTCCAAGGCCAGCTGATGCCTGTTCTTCTAACACCTGTGACCCCTCTCACCTTTCACCTAGTGGATCTGTCCCCTTCTCTGACTTACCCTTCTCAGGTCCCAATGAGCAGGAAGGGAATGTTATGCATCCCACATAATTATTGAGTGGTTTCCCGACAAGTCTAAGAAACATAAAACTTCAAGGCCAAGTGTTTTCGTGGTTACTTCATTGTGATGGGAAACAAAGGCACAGTTACTGCACTGTGGTCCTCTTGACGCAGAACAGAGATTTTGTGGCAGCCTTTGAGTAGTGCGGTTTTGCAGCTGGAGAACAAAAGGATGGGGCACTTGTTAGGGAAAATGCAGTTATCGTGTGCAGGGCATGATAAACCTTAGGGGACAGGAGTGTGACCATTGTCACTCATTAATCTGTTCTATTCTTTTACTCAGCAAACATTTTTGGGCCCCCCACTTTGTATAAGGCATTGTTCACAGAAGATGCAAAATGAGAAAAAATGAATTTTTTTAAAAAAGAAAGAAAATGAGAAAAATAAAAAACAACTTGGTTTTCTAGAGTAATTTCCTTAGTTTTTGAATTGTGCAAATCAAATTTTCTTTTTCTTCTCTTTTTCTCTTTCTCTGACTACCCCTTTCTGCCAGCTTTTAAAAACTTTTTTCTATGTGGCAAGAACATTTAAATAAGGTCTACCTTCTTTACAGATTTTTAAGTGTACACTGCAGCATTGTTTTAGATACAGGCACCATGTTTTACTGATCTCTGGAATTTAAGTATGGAGCAGAACTTTGTACTCTTCAACAGCAACTCCTCATTTCCTCTACCCAATAGTCTCTGAAAACCACTATGCTGTCTTTGTTTCTAAGGCTCTATTTTAGATGCCCCCATGAGTGGAATTATGTGGTAGTGTCTTTTTGTGACTGTCTTATTTCAATTAATGCAATGTCCTCCAGGTTTATGAATACCATGGTATATCACAGGATGTATTTCTTTTTTTAAGGCTTCGTGACATTCCATTATATGTATCTACAATCTCTAAGATCTGTATTATTAATTATATTACATTTGACTTTTCTTATGAAAATCACCCATCACATTAGTGGTGGGGTCAGTTTTAGACCTGCAAGCACACAGTCCATTTAGGGATATTCCTAGTCAATTCTCCCCAAAGAACTCTCAGAAAAAATAGTGCCGTCATTCATTGACAATTTACTACATACCAAAAAGACTTCTTCATTTACAAAATTTCATTTGTAAACTCATTTATCACAGAAAATACTAAGAGCCAAATGCTATTATTATTCTCATTTTATAGTTGAAGGAATAGGCCCATAGTTAAATAATTGGACCAAATAAAATAGCTGCTAGGATACAGAACTGTGACTCAACTACTGGTCTAAATCTTGTGTTTCTAATTCTGTGCGATAATGCATTTTCACAAAGAGAGCTGCCTGTCTTCACAATCAGGATGTTGTTTGCTTCATCCCTAGTACACACCCGATGGCTTTAATGCAATCACTAATAGAATTCAGTTTTCCCAGGAGTTAGTAATCAGAGAAAAAGATATGCACCGTGCAATGTACATTAGACTCTGATTTCCATTTGAACCCAAGCTTGCCAAGACCGATGTCAGTTTCTTGACTTATTGAGTTTTTTTCTCATCTGTGAAATGAGACTAACAATCCCTATGTGCATTAGTCAGAATTCTCCAGAAAAACAGCACCACTAGGCGCTATCAATTTTCATTGTAAGATATTGCCTGAAACTTTTACAGATGCTCTTAAATCCCAAATTTGCAGGGGGGCTGGTGGTGCTACAGAATGAAGGTGAGCTGATGTTTCAGTTCTGAAGCTGCCAGCTGGACCTTTCTCTCTTACCTGAGGGAGGGGTGGACTTTTTGTTTCATTTGTGTCTTCAGTTGATTGGACAAAGCCTTCCCACGTTGTGGAAGGTCATCTGCTTCATTCTATGATTAAAACATTAATTTAATCTAATGTCAAAATCTACCAATTTAAATGTTAATCTCATTCAAAAATATCTTCAAAGAAATTCCCAGAAAAATATCTGGCCAAATTATCTGAACATTTGTGCCCTAGTTGACGCATAAAAACCATCATACCATCTTCAGAGATGTATAAAATTTAACAAGCATAAAGTATAAAGCATGTTTTATCCCCTTTGCTAATCTTACCCTTTTCCCTTATTCTCTGTCTACAAAGGAAAATATGGAAACAAACTGACTGCCTAGTTATCAAGCAGCTGAAGACCTGAAAGTTGCAGAAATATATATATATATTATATATATAA